TGCCAGCACTGACTGTAAACAGAGCACATCTGTACACAACAGCTGCCAATGAGCAGTAATGAAGATTAATAAGTCTTTTGTAGTAATTGAAATGAATAGAGGCTCTTTGTGGACTGCTATGATGCAGCACCGGTAAGTTCAGTGAGTAGGATGTCACATGGTGTGTGTGAAAAGTCTCTGCTTGAACTATAGTATCAGATCCAGTGAGCGCCTGATAATAAGCGAGATCCACCTGCGGGAATCTATTCTCATTACTTCATGCAGCGTGGTGGACGTAGCCCATACATTATTCATGCTTTCTGCAATATCTTATTGACCTCTGTCAAGGACATTTGGACAGGCATTCATCTTGACAAAATTGGCCAATCACAGCCTTCAAATTGGACATATGCAAAATGCAGAGGTGGAGTACAGTGTTGAATAATGTGTCTCTCCGTTACACACTGCTGCGAGAATGAAACGTATGCACAGTGTGGCCTAATGATACCTGTCTGCTGCTAATGCAGCCTGAGAGACTGATAGCCTGAACACAGCTTTAACCTTTGACCTCTTCACATTTGGACGCCGGCGTGCAGCCGTTCATTGTTTTTCCTCGTATCTGTTGACTTGAATGAATCCAACTGTTACAAAACGCTATGAAACAGACATCTGTTACATCTGTGGTGACTGTGGTTTGAGCAATCAGTGTCATTAATCCTTTTATTTTTGCTACTGATACTGTTATTTGTATTGTTGTTTTTTGTATTGTGTTGCTAATTGGTCTGTGAGTGATGTTGCTTTTGCAGAAGGTTGGTCGTGTTTTATTGCTTCTGCTCTTGTTGTTGCTCACAGAGAAGGCTGGCCGAAGTGCATTATACTTCCAAACGCTGGAATTGAAGGTTTTCTTGTGATTTTAAAATAATTACTTCCCGGGGCCTGTTTAAGCCCTCCCCCCTGCCTTAAATGGATTTTGTTTTTTGTTTTTTTTATACTGTACAATTGCAACTAATTAACCATAAAATGCTGTTCTTTCAGTTGTTGTTTTTTTTTTTTAAATTTAATGTTTTGTGTCAGCAATTGTTGCAGGAGAACAGCAGTTCATCTTAGAATCATGTTTTTTTTGTTTGTTTTTTTTAAGTAAAAAAAAAAGAAAAAGCCCAAACTGCCAACAATACAGAATGATTACATCACTGCTGTAACTTTAGGACTATCTCTTTGCACATAGCTTGAACAGGAAAACACTTCTGCTTTGTTCACACTAACGTGAGACTTCCATTTTAGCGTGGAAAAGAAATGAAAGAAACCGCTGCAGTTAATCCAAGTGCACTGCTGTAATGATGGTGTTTGAGTATCTAGCTGTGATTGTGGCATTTATGCGGCTGTGTAAGAAGACATCTGTGTTTCAGTGCGTTGCATGATATTCTTTACAATGTGTGAAGGCAGAACGAACATTCTGCTTCCTGCAGGTGCTTTTTTTTTTTTTTTTGCAAAGGACTTGTTATGATGGAAAATAAAGTCAAACTTGTCCTATGTTACACATTAAGGTCTGTTTAGGTGTGGAAAAAAGTTGCGTAAAATCATATCTCCATAGAGGGTGTAGTGTGTGCACTGTGCAGCACAGCAGGAGGACATTAGCAGCTCAATATGCATTCAAGCATCTTATTAAGCTATAGGTCACCTGCACTGTGGAAGTTCTCTGAGCCCAATACATAATCACTGGACTCATTTATGCAAAACGCAGGAAAAAAGACTT